CAAACTCTTTGAATTCTTTGTCATGTCTTGTCCTCAAATGTTGAATCAAATTGCTGGTGTTAAAACATCCAACTTCTGCTCCTCCCCTTGACAGTTTAGCAGAGCACAGCAAACAGTCTGCTTGTTTGGTGTCCTCTGTGCCGATCTTAAAATATCTCCAAACTGCCGACATGTTACTTCTTCTTCTTCTCATCGTTCTTCTTCTGTTATTCGGGGGTGCGGTCGGAAATAACTTGTCAGTGCATTAGCTCCACCGCCTGGTATGGATTGTTGTTTACCCTTTATGCTGCAGCGCAGCACAGGAGGAGACAAAAGCGCTATCGGTTAAGAGTATCGGCCGGCTTTTACGAGTACGAGTATGAGTACTTGATGGTATCGGGACACCCCTACTTTGAGTGCACCCACAGCTCTACATCAGTGATGTCATGTTTTTGTTTTGATGTCCAGACATTAGTGACGTCCGGCGCCTAAAACCTGGCTTTCTGGAAGCCACAGTCGACTGGTTCAGGAGGTACAAAGTGCCTGATGGGAAACCCGAGAATAGCTTTGCTTTCAACGAGGAGTTCAAAGACAAGGTTTTCCCTTTTTAATTATATAATAAAGCAAACCTATATCAACAAAAGTATGCTTTTTCACTTAGTTACCTTGCCATTCTGTAAAGAAAATATCAAATTTTATTAGTGTTTCTTGCTAAATACATTTGAAGTTAATTAAAATTATGTAAAATAAATTGAAACTCATTCCTTACATACACCTAATTATTTTTACTGTTTCAGGACTTTGCCGTTGAAGTAATCAAGAGCACTCACAGCTTCTGGAAAGCACTTATTTCCCAGCAGACTAATGCTGGAGAGCTCAACTGGTAAGCACTTCAGCCAAGGCGCGGCTGCATTTTGAACAAAGATACGTGCGTGTTCCCAAACAGGCTTTATTATAACTGCCTAACCTTAAATGTCTGCAAAACAGCAAAAACACGTGCGTGTCAGCTGGTGACAGCCCGTACTGCTGCTCAGCCGATGAGGCCAAAGCTGCTGTTGGTGAAGTAAGATTTCCCAGCCTCTGTTTTTTTGCAACACATTTCAACACAAAGTCGCTCCGTCTAATTTTTTATTCTCTCTCAGACATGTCCTTGTGGAAAGGAAGAGCCTATCCCGTCACCAGGTAGTCTTTTTTTATATTAAAGGCAAGCTGTATTTTTGTGTTCCTCCTGATTATCACTGAGATTATTGTTTTATTCGCAGTTGATAAATGGTTCTACTACGAGAGGAAGTAATCCAGGACCCGCATGAGTGTGGAGAAGAACTACAACTCATCTGTGATGAAAATACTTGAAGATGAACTTTTATTAGGAACCAATAGGATGGCTGGGGGTGGTTGGGTCAGGGTGGTCTGTCTTCCTATAGACAGAAGGGTATGGTAGCTGTAAATCCTGTAGAGAGGAGTCATAATGAGCTCGTATTAACGTATTTTACTCTTCCTAACAGATCTCTTTAGAGGTATGCTATTTAACAAAAAGCAGGTGCTGTGTTTCACAGAAACTTGTGCTGTATGATGCTGACGCTTTAATAAAGCTTCTCTGGTTAAATTATTATCAAAGTGTGAATTTGAATGAGTGGAGCCACTTGGTGGAGAAAAAGTGACTGTTTTTTTAAACTGAGCTTTTATTTTTGTAATGCTGCCACCTATAGTGCACATTGAAATCTGTTATTGAAGTGGATTTTTTGACTAAGACAAGCAAGGCAATTATTTTGTTAAAGGAAGAATTGACAAATCTTTCATAAAATCTGTTTAAAAGTAAAAGTTATTTCAAAAGATGTGAGGAACTTACAGCTGGCAAGAACAAAACAGTACTGTAAACTTATTAAATGTAAATTGAATGAATGCTTATTGAGCATTTTTGGTACATTTGTAACTGCTTACTTTATTTTAGACATACCAACTAGCTTTCTTTTTAAAATTCATTTTAGTCTTTTTAGCTATCTTTTTATGTAGCACAAAGTTTAAAATAAAATGTTTAAAAAAGCTCACTTCTTACTTTTTTGTAGTTTTTCCTAATTGTTAAATGTAAATGTTTTTATTTGAAAACTAGGAATTTACTTGAGTTATCTAATGGAAATGTATTAGTGACATGTTCTAATGTTTTTTTTAGCACTTGGCGTCCTGTAGCCTTTTACTACATCTAGCTTTGAATTAATGTTTTGCTATGTGGCTTTTAGATTAGAATTTAGCTTTTTACCTCCAGCTATTCTTTAAGTTGGTGTTTTGCTTATTTTAGCTCTAGAAAATACAATTTCTGTAGTTATTTCTGAGTTTTTTTAATATACATACAAAAACAAACATAAATATGCAGAATAACCACTGACGTTCAATAAAGTGACTTGTACAAGAATGCTGATAAATGCGAATATATTGATTGGATTTTATTTAAAAGTTTTCTTTTCATTTAAAACATTTCAGTAAATAATTTAGAGTAAAAAAACGGGTCCTAACATCCGACAAACATTAAAAAAAACTATATAAAATATATCTGATCCATTTCATCAACGCTCCCTCGTGACGTACTTCCGGTTATGTGTCGGCCTCTCGGCTTCACGTCAGTCGGGACAGACCAAACACTAAACAACAAGGAGTTTATGAACTCGGCAGACCAAGGTAAGAGCACAAATTAAGTAAATAAATTCATTTGGTTTTATCATTCGCTTTAATTTCACCTGTTGAAAACTTCTCGTGGTATTATTGATGTTTAATTGGTCATTTTTTTGCGCGCTTATTTCTTTATTGTTGTTTACTTGTAAAAGTTTTTATTGTTTACTCTGATGTCATGTCAGCACGAGGGATGTATAATGAGCCGAACGGTGTCAATAACTGTGAAATCACTTGGGAAAATGTTTGGAAACTTTTTCATATCGTGTTTAGTGGTTTGTTTGACTCTTTTGTGTTTTTACGTGTTTTTCTTCAGGAGTTCTGAATCAAGATTTAAACAGGAAAACGAACGTGTTTAGGGAGGAGCAGCAGGTCTTGTTATATTTCAGTTTCAACCCATGAATGCTGAGTATTTAAATATATTGTGCAACAGACCTGAGGAGTGTTGCGTTCACTGACACAAATGTGTGTTGATCAAACAGTTGGGTAATTTCTGGAAACCTACAGCCAATAAAAGGCGTCCCTTTTTAAATCACTGCAACCAGAACACTGAGTTCACTCTGTCGGGGTGACAGGTGTGTGTGTGTGTGTCCGTGAGGGGGGCTCACGGCTCAGATCAAGTGTCTTTCTCACAACTTGTCATATAAATAGTCAGAGGAAGATCAGTGTAGCTGAGCCTCAGAGCAAACCAGAGCCCAGAAGAACATCAGGAGCCTTTTTGTTGCTGAGCTGACCCCCTTTTCTTTTCACGCTTAATGAGTGTGATTACACAGAGCTTACACATACCAACACAGTAATCCAGAGCCAGAAATACTGATTAGTGTGAGGGATTCTATAATAAAACAATGTTCCTCCTGAAAAGCATTCAATTAGAGGATCTATCCATGCACTCATGTATAGGCTTACATGTTGGTACCTAAACTTGCAAACTGATACATTATTGAAAGCTTTTATTTGTTTTTATTTTCTGTATTTCAGGTAAAGAGAAATGTCTTTTGTATTTAATTGGATCTACAAAAGCTTCAGCAGTGTCCTGCAATTATTAGGTATAGTATGCTACTCTAAATAGCAGTTTTGCATGGTGATTGTGTACAAACTAAATTGTCAAAAAAGTACTCATTGTTAATATTTTGTGGTTTGTGATTACACGTCACTCAGACTACACACGATAGGACTTATTTTAAAGAAATGTTCAGTTTTTGTGGGTGCTTGAATAAACTAAATTGGACTTTTGAACCTCAAACTTAAAAAGATAAATACGACGTGGCTCAGCTTCCTCCTGTCATCGGCCTTTAAAACCTTTTTTTACACAGAGTTTCTAAACACTCCGTTTGAATTTTCCTTTTCTCATCAGGGTTGTACAAAAAGAGCGGGAAGCTGGTTTTCCTAGGACTAGATAATGCTGGCAAAACCACGCTTCTGCAGATGCTCAGAGACGACAGACTGGGGCAGCACATGCCAACGTTATACCCAAGTACTCTCAGCAGGCTGACCTGTCGCACAATCTTCCTTTTAGGTTTAGTGGTTTTGTCACTCCTCTAATGTCGGTGCTTCCTCCCTGCTCACAGCGTCTGAAGAGTTGACCATAGCCGGAATGACGTTCACTACGTTTGACCTCGGAGGCCATACACAAGGTGTGAGTACAGAGTTATGTGGCCGACGTTAACGTTTGTGTCATAGGAAGTCGTAACGATGCATTTGCAGGATGTCACATAAACTGATTTTTTTTCCAGCACGAAGAATCTGGAAGAATTACTTCCCAGCCATAAATGGTATAGTCTTCATGGTGGATTGTGCTGATCATGTGCGACTAGCGGAGGCTAAAGCTGAACTAGATGTGAGCTTATACTCCTTTGACTCGTCATCTCAACACAGTCCTCTGGAATGATCTTTATGCTCAACACTTTCAGGCCATCCTAACAGACGAAACCATCGCTAACATCCCAGTGCTGATCCTGGGAAATAAAATCGATCGTCCGGAGGCCGTCAGCGAGGACGGGCTCAGAGGAGTGTTTGGTCTGCACGGACATACAACTGGGAAGGTAAAGATGAGTTAATGATGTGTTTTGTTTTCTTGAGTTTTGCAGTTTATTAAAAAAAGTGACGTTTGCGGTTCTGAATACTCTGGATCGCACAAAACCTCCAAAAGATGAGAGCTACTGAACTCGCTACTGCTCAGTCATATTTCACAGTTTAAGTTTCTCATACAATCATACAAATATGAACTGGAGAGTGATCGCTGAATGACTGCTGACATTTGCTAAGGAAGTGGGAAACTGAGTTGGTAAAAAACTAAAAGAAGCAGAACACTAGTTAAAGGAACAAAACATTAACTCAGTGGTTCTCAAACTCTGTTTTTTCTGTTGGTCCTCCCCTTTGGAGAAAACTAATTGTGTATTCAAGTATTCAGTGTAGTATTTGTGTATACAAGTATGAAAATATGCGCAGGTTTAGTAAAGGAAATGCAAAATTATATAAATGTCTTTGGTTTCTCTGAAGAATTTTTGTTCAATTAAAAAAAAAAAAGAAGAAGAAAAAACCGTTGAGCAACATCATGCCTCCCCTTGACAATCCCCGTGCCCCCCGTAGAGGAGCCCGCCTTATAGTTTGAGAACTGTGTAGCTATAATCTGAAACAAGCAAAACAATAGTTAAGAACCAGAAGTATCAAAAGTCTGGTTAACAAAATGCTGGCTAAAAGTAGTGATAGGCAAATGAAGCTTTTCTGAAGCACTGAAGCTTGCTTTGAAAAAGGGTTCATCACTCGAAGCTTTCCAACACAGTTCTCTTTGGCGCCATCTTGTGGCCAAAAGTATGAAAAGCTGCTGGAAACAACAAAGTGAAGCGCTTCATCGTGATGGAGATGACAGCTCTTTGATGAGATATTTCTGTTTGATATCAGGTTGTCATGGTGTTGCTTGAACAGATTTTATTTTTTTATTTTCTTTTTTGTGGGTGGGAATAAAGTTACTGTTGTTTATGGTTTATTATAAATAAAATAAAGTGTGCCTGTGTATTTTATACTGAATTATTTNTGTGTATTTTATACTGAATTATTTCAAGTTCAAGATCTTAATTCATTTTCATTTAAAAACTAAATTAATTCTAAACACACAAAAAATCACAAATAAAATGAAAAACAGAAAGCAGAAAGAAAAGTCTAATTTTATTCTCTGCCCCTTATTTTCAAAAAATAAAATATAGGCTACTAGATTGTTTCACACATTCTTAAAACCAATAAATACAGTAGTTGAATTTCAACTTAAGATTTTCACAATCTTATCTTAACATTTCTCTGAGAATAACTTTGAATATGATCATATATTTAAATATATTCTGTGTGTGACTGCTTGTCTGTGTTTTTCTAAATACAGGATCCACAAAATCCCCTCTGAGAGACTCTTCAGATTTACTTTAAGTCAGATGTTTGATATCTAAATTTTAGGTCCAGCTTTGAGACAATATTTTTTACAATTAATTCTTCAAAGTATTAATATTTCCTACAAGTCTGATAAATACAGCCCCTGGTCTTTGATTTAAATTTTGACATGAACGTTCAAAACTTTTCCACTGAACTTTAAAATGTTTGGATAATCCCTTTATTAAATGGAGTCCATACAGTTGATCAGTTTCATCTGATGCTGCGTGCCGTCCTTCCTCCTGAGGACAGGACATTGTCACCATCCGGTTGTGTTTTTTATGAAAATCATCATCTGTGCAACAAGTGAAAGTCCTTCACTGGTTTGTTATATTTTGCGCATTTGTCATCAAAACACACCACGAGTCCAGCTAATGATTCACTTCCTCATGAACCTTTGAATCAGGTACCAAAGCAGTGACGTAAGTTCACCACTTTCGGACGCCACTGATCACATGACTTTTACCAAACGAATCAAACTCCGACACAGTGCTTCTGAAACAGTGTGTTGTTTTTTTCAATACATGCGCCGAAGCTTCAGCTTCAAACTGCCCATCACTGGCTAAAAGTATCAAAATACTACCTAAAAGCTAAAAGAAGCATAAGATTAAAAAATAGATTTTGTAGGAATTACTACAATCTCTATGTATTTGGATGGGAAAACTTGTGAATAAAATACAAAAATGACCAAAACCAAAAGTTAAAACTCCTATCTGCTGTTCGAGCTGCACAATTTCTTATAAAAATGGTTAAAATAGCACAAAGTACGAAGGAAAAAAAGAACTTTGATCCCCACTCCTGTTACATTTGCTAAAGAAACTCTTCATTTGGCTCACCACCTGAATGATATGATTTTATTTTCCTCATGACTGAATATCTTAAGCAAAAACAGATAAAGATAATTGAGGCTGAAGAAATGATGCCGATGAGTTCAATAAATTCCTTGCCTTTTTCTACTCTCAGGAAGTTACAGATTTAGGGTTATTTCTATGAAACGCTGTGGGGAATGTGTAATTTGTGAAGTCGTGTGGTGTGGTTTTTGTTTGTTTTCAGGGCACAGTATCCCTGAAGGAGCTGAATCTGAGGCCAATGGAGGTTTTCATGTGCAGCGTCCTGAAGAGACAGGGCTACGGAGACGGTTTCCGCTGGCTCTCCCAGTATATAGACTGATTCCAGATGTTTTTAATCGCCTTAATCAGATTTATTATGCTGCCTGTGCACACACACACAAAATCTGTTCCACACAGAGCTACCAGCAGCAGAAATATAATTTATTAAAAGCACAATTTCTAGTAATTTGACTGCCAATAATGAATACATTTTGTATTAATACACAATGCATATTCATCAGGGTGGTTCCTGTTTTAACTTAAAGCATGCTGGGAATCCTGTCACCCTTATACAACACACTGCTGAGAGACTTGTTTTATATTTGGCTGCTGGTGTTGATTTACAGTTAAGGGCAATTTAACAAGTTGCAGACTTTGTTGGAGTAGCTCCCACTTGTGTGGGGATACAATGATTTTTTTAAAGCACAAAAAGATAGTTTTCATTTCTAAAATATTTCTTTCAAAGTGTTAGGAAATTTGTAACACAGTCAAAAATGTAATTTAACTCAAAAATGTTGCACAACACTTCATGTTCACAACAGTGATCTAACTCTCACCATAGATATTAAAATTCAGTTAAGAAGGAGCTTTAATTATTTGTACAGAAATAAATAATTGCAGTACAGCTGCTCCAGCATTGCCAAGTAAAGTAAAAAAAAAAAAAAACAACATATTGCAGAGATGAAGCCAAATTGTAGTAACTGTTTTTCTTTTCATTTTGATGCTGTGAATTAACCAGAGTACTTTGTGATTAGTTGCTGCTCACAACATGCAGTAATATTATGAGAGTACTTGGTTCATATTTAAACAACAGTGCAATATTCTATTTATTTTGTATAAAAAAGTTATATTTATATTTTGAGAGAAAAACGGGCTTTTCTGTTACAAAAGTTGCATCGTTTTTGTTCGACTGGTGTGAAAATGTAGCATAATAAATATGTTTTCTGACTTTTTTTGCTGTTGATTTGTTGATGATTCTGTTAGAAAAGCTCCAACTTATTTTTTACACGGGCTGAAAATAATAAAGCTTGTGGAAACTCTTCATAATCAATTTTTAATTGAAAAGGTTTAATTTGAAGCTTTTTTTTAAATATTTGCAACATGGAGATCAATGGGATATGTCACAGAAGAAACACTGTTAAAATTGTTTTGTTTTAACTCTGTGTCTCTTAGTGTAGGACTTTTTTTCTCAAATCTTCTTGGAGTACAGACAGCTCACACCAAAACTACCACAAAATTAAATTATATTGGCTAAATTTAAAGATTTGACTTTTGCATATCTGCTCTTTATTTTGATCTTACTTTTCCTATGCCTCACCTTTGGGAGTCAGGGAGTGACAAACACAGGTGTTTTGTTATCATGACCAGCCACAGGTTCATATATCAAAATGTAGGCATATTTATTTATTTTATTTTAGATCGTTACAATGTTATTTTATAATTTTGTAAAACAGTTTCATTGACATGCCTCAGGTTCAGCCATGGATTGCGAAAGTGCCACCTTTTCTGGGACACAGTACAACAAATCAAGCGTCTACCCACTCTCGTTTCCTATTGGCCAGAAAGCGTCACATTCCGACCTATCGCGTGAAAGTATGAATTCCAACCAGGAAGTATAAAATAAACAGTAAGCATTTGCTGTAAAGCAAAAGTTAAAACTTGAGTTCATGCTGTCATTTCACATCATAATGGACGTTCGTCTTGTCGGTTCGACACCGGTCGGTAGATATTTTTGATTTGTTACGTTTTTGAGTGTTTTCCTTCTTTCTGGACCGTAGTTAACCCACTTTAGCTTCGAACGGCATGGAGTTAAAGGACGTGGAGAGCTGTTGCTGTGTGGTCCAGGTTTCAGGGGGGTTCTCAGCAAAAAAGCCCATCAGCTGCAGCGGGGTCATCGTCTGTCCTCAAACCGGCTCCATCATATGCACCGGCCTGCCGTTTTCACGGTTCATCGCCGACAGAGAGCCCCTCTGTTCGGGGGCTGGAGTTCTGTTTCCTCGCAGCTTCAGCAGCGAGCTTAAAATCCGCGTCAGCTCTCCGGCTCCTGCACACCCGGACTTCGAACCGAGCTGGCGGGAGAAGGCTTGCACCGCTCCGGGCAGCAGATCCCATCGGAGGGAGAGGAGGGAGGTTCCAGCACAGCTGCTGATGCTGGTGAACTGCGTGGAGTTCAAGCGAGCCTTCCTGGGAGTTTTCAAGGAGGCGGACCAGTGGCGTTTCCATGGTGATGATGATGGTGATGATGATGATGATGATGAGCTGCTCAGAGATGCTCAGTTCCTCAGCTGGTTTGCTGTGCTCAGGGCAGATGTGTTTCCGGACAGCAGAGCAGCTTCAGGGACCGTCCCCTGGCAGAGCAGCTCGACCCTCCACAAGGGCTGCCCGGTCGTGGCCTGCGGCTCTGCCTTTGGCTCCCTCTGCTTAGACCTCTTCATCAGCACCCTCAGCGGAGGGATCATCAGTAACCTGGCCGGAGAAGACAACGCTGTAATCCTCACAGATGCCCGCTGCCTGCCAGGGACGGAGGGTGGGGGGTTGTTTGCTGTGGAAGGCGCGGAGGGCGTGCATCTCATCGGGCTGATCGTGTCTCCCTTCGGCTGGAAGGCGAACGAGTGGATCGGCCTCACCCTGGTCTGCTCGGTTCACTGCATCTTCAGGAGCATCATCCGGTGCACCGGTGATCACAATCCACTGGGTGATGCCTGGCTCCGTTCAGGAGAGGCTGACCTCCACATGTGCAGGACCGCTCAGGTGTCCCGAGCTGCTGAATACCCCACCGTGTGCCTGGTGGACAGTGGGAAGGTGTGGGGCTCAGGGGTCGTCGTCACCACAAAGCTGGTTGTGACCTGCAGACACGTTGTCGACGGGAGGTCTTTAGTCACTCTGAAGTTCCATCACAGGGGAAGGTCATGACATGTTTAATTAAAAATGAATGAAACCATGACCCAAATATTGTTTTACACAAGCACATTCAGCTGTAGAAGTACACCCAGTGATTACGTTTGAAATTTTCACTAAAATCTGCACAGGTTAGATATTATTTATTATATTGTGACAAACAGGGTCGACTCCAGCAGTTAATGCTATTTTAGGCAAAGATCCTGTGCTACGAGCAACACTTGGAGAAAGCTGCCAACACATCTGTAAAACACTGACTGAAAAAGCAAAACAAATATTTAGAAAGTCATAGACTTACAAAGGCCTGACAGAAGTTTTACAAATGATTAGTTGGAAAAAAAAAGATCAAATGTTATGAAAATACACAAAAATATGACAAGAATAGATCAAATTTATTATTATTTTATTTATTTATTTTTTACTTTTATTTAACCAGGAAGGCCTCTTTGAGATTAAACAGACTAAACAGATATATGAAGGGTTAAACATAAAAAAGCACAGATAAAACTCCAATGAACATTTATTAAGAATAATTGAAAAGACATTAGAAATTAGAGGGATTATTTTTTTAAAATTTTGATTAATCCTCTCTTACAGAGTCCGTCATATGTTTGGTGACGTCTTGTTCTCCACCAAACCGTCTTCTCCGTATGATCTGGCGTTTGTCGAACTGAAAGTCCCCGTCCCAGACGCTGTGGTCCCTCGGACGTCGCCGAGCTTCCCTCCCGGTTTGAATCAAGATTTTGAGCTCCTTCACGTTTGTAGAACCGTATAATTCGGGTGGACTCTTTCGTCTGTCTGCAGGTGAAGCTGTGGTTGTTGTCGGGTATGGAGGTTTGGGTCGAACCTGTGGTCCGTCGCTGACCTGCGGCGTCCTCTCTAAAGCCATCAGCCTGAACCAGCGGCCCGTCATGCTGCAGACCACGTGTGCGGTCCAGGCGGGCGCCAGCGGAGGTGCTGTGCTCCGCAGACACTCTGGAGAGCTGCTGGGTGAGGACAACTCCTACAAAACCACCTCTTGAGCAGTTGGGGGGCACTTGTTGACCATAAAAAAAAGGGCAGCATTCCATTGGTTAATCTGTGCTGCTGTAGTTTCAGTTTGAAGAAACAGCAACGCCTTGTTGTGTGTTGCAGGGATTGTGTCCAGCAACACGAGGGACTTGGCTGCACGAGTGACTTATCCGCACCTCAACTTTGTCATCCCGGTGACCGTTTTCCAGGGATTGCTGCAGGAATTCCACCGAAGCAGAGATATCGAAGTGTTCAGGGGACTGAACGCCACCGGACCAGAAATCAGACGGGTGTGGAGGCTGCAAGGTGCACAAAGCAAACTCTAACTCAAGCTCACTGCTCTTTGAGACCACAAAAACAATGTTTTAAATTAAAATGGATTATGTGTTCTCTAATGTTTTTGAAACCACTTTTTTAAAATTCTAGTTTGCACCAAATTTTCATCTAGGGATGAATTATTACTGTAACATGAACCCAGAATCAGCTGTGAATTTAAAGGGGATATATCATGCAACATTCACTTTTTTTTTAGCTGTTAAACACATTTTGTTGTGTACTTGGAGTCTCTGGGAGTGCAGAAAATTCAAATGTAGATTCTCCTGGTGGGGTTTAGGTATCCTTATATTTTGTTTGGTTCATATTTTTAAATCATTTAGTTTTTTCTATTCTCGATGACGTTTTCGGAACCATTACATCACAGTATTTGTGACAGAACTTCACTTTGGTCGTCTTTGTTCTCCTCTGGCTCAGACTCTGGCTCCAACATTGAAGGCTGGATGGACAAGTCTTCCCCTGTTGACATACTCTAATTCATTTGTAAATAAAGTTTCTGTGCTGCTTTATAGTGGTAAACTCCTCTAACTAGAATGAACCACTCTGTGTGTGTGTGTGTGTGTGTGTGTGTGTGTGTGTGTGTGTGTGTGTGTGTGTGTGTGTGTACTTGTTTCTGCTAGGACCACTTGCAAAATAGTTAATATCAAAGTGAGGTCTTTGATGTAAAGTGAGGACCGGGACAAGGACCTCAATTTTTATTTTTTTTGCAGCTCTACTAGTTAGGTTTAGAGGAGTGGTATGAACTAAGTTTTGGTTATTGTTAGGAACAAACCAGTAATGGTTAGTTTTAGGGAAAATGTCTGTGTTAGGAATAAATGCAGTTACAAAAATGAATGGAAGTCAGTACAAAGTCCTCAGTTTGATGCAAGTATAGGATGTGTGTGTGTGTGTGTGCGCGCCCATGTTTTTGCCACTTGGTGGGGACAATTTTTCAGGAAAATGCAGCCTCGTGGGGACTAAAACCCGGTCTCCATGACTTTGGAGGCTGATTTTGGGTGGTGGTGGTGGTGGGGGGGCGGTTAGGTTTAGGACCAAGGTGTGAATTGAGTTTAGGTTAGTTTTAGGGTCAGGTAGGTACCTGTGAGGTTAGCCTTAGGGTTTGTGGTCAAGGTTAGGCTATAAAATAATTTAAAAAATGAATGGAAGTCAATGGAAAGTCCCCACAAGGATAGAGATACACAGTGTGTGTGTGTGTGTGTGTGTGTGTGTGTGTGTGTGTGTGTGTGTGTGTGTGTGTGTGTGTGTGTGTGTG